ATACATTTATTAGGTCACTTGTCCATTCCTCCCCCTACACTAAGGAAATGCTCACTAGAGCTGGAAATGAACAAGGCATGTGCTACCACTGCCACGTGGGAGAATTTAGCACAAATTTACTAACTTTAGATACATCACCTCAATCAAGGTTTTATCTCAAATACAACACCTTTTTCTACAAATGGCCAGATTGTAAATATTTTAAGGTTTGCAGACCATATTGTCTCTGTCACAATTACTACAGTGTGTCATTATGGAAATCAGATGCAGGAAACATGGAAGAGATTGTTTCCTTAAAACCTGATTTATAAATACGGACTATTAAACTCTGTGTAATTTTCAGGTGTCACAAATGTTTCTTCTTTTTTTTTAGTGATTTAAAATGCATAAGTAGGTAAACTTTTGTTTACCTTCTAAATAAAAGTAATAATTTAAATGCTGCAGAGACCATTCTTAGCTTACAAAAAAGCACACATTGGCCAAATTAGGCCCATAGTTTCAGGACTTGGGCGCAGGCATGGTCTGTGACCCAGATACTACAGAAATGCTTCTTGAAGCCATGTTTATTTACATCTCTAATGGGGACTGAGTAACTCTGAGTATGTCTCAAGCTTATGAGACATACTCATACGTATCATCTGTTGGGAACCAATGCATGTTATTAGGCAACAAAGTCAGATTGTCATCAGTCTTATTCTACTTTGGGTGCTATAATAAAGCACCAAAAACTGGGTGGCTAATAAAAACAGAAATTTATTTTTCACAGTTTTAGAGGCAGATCAAGATCAAGACAGGCTCAGTCTTGATGAGTGTTGGTGAATATCTGCTTTATGGTTCATAGGAGGCACATGTTAGCTATGTCCCTAAGTGCTGGGAGGAGTCAGGCAGCTTTCTGGGGTTTGTTTCATAAGCATACCAATCATATTTTTTTTGGCAGTACAGGGGGGTAAACTCAGGGCCTCATGCTCTCTAGGCAGGCATTTGAGTCACTCTAGCAGCCCTTTTTGTAGTGGTTATTATTTATTTACTTACTTATTTATCATCAGTACTAGAGGTTGAAGTTGGGGGGCTCATGCTTGCCAGGCAGGTGGTCTAGCACTTGAGCCATGCCTCCAGCCCTGTGGTAGTTTTTGTTTTTGTTTTTGTTTTTGTTTTGAGGCAGTTTCTCACTTTATGCTCAGGCCATCTGCACCATGATCTTCCTATTTGTGCTTCTCTGCTTAGCTGGGTTAACAGGTATGTGCCAGCATGCCTAGCCATTGATTGAGATGGGGATCTCATGAACTTTTTTCCTGGGCTTGCCTTGAACTGTGAGCCTCCAAATCTCTGCCTCTGAAGTTAGGATTACAGGCTTAAACCACTGCATTCAACCAATATCTTCTTTTTTGCAGTGCTGGGATTTGAATTCAGGGCCTCATGCTTGCAAGGCAGGCATTTTACCATTTGAGCCATGCCTCCAGACCCTAATAACATTTATAAGGATGCTATCCTTAAGTCTAATCACCTTACAAAGGTACCACCTCCAGATACCATCATTTCAGGAGTTAGAAATTCAACAAACGAACTTTGAAGGATACAAACATTCAGACTACCACACTGCTTATCCTTACATATAGGTGGGCCAGGTAAATTTGGTAATAGTATTTCTACCTAAAGAGATCACTTACATCTTCATAAGAACAAAAACCAATTAATTTTTGAGTGATGGAGAGACAGTATAATACATATGTTAACAGAGTTAAAAATGGGTATAACACAAGTGTTACGGTTTGGACAAGCAGTGTTCCCTCTGAAGGTGTATGAGTTTAAGGATTGGTCACAGTTGATGGATATAAACATTAAGAAGTGCTTGGATCATGATGGCTCTGACCTAATCTGTGAATTTAATCCATACACGGGTTCATAATTTGATGGAAGTGGTGGAAACTTTCGGGAGTGAGGTCTAGAAGGAAGAAATGGGAAAGTGGGTGTATTCTTTTTAAGGATATCTTGTTCCTTGCCCTTTTCTGTCAATCTCTTCACTTCCTAGCCACCCTGAGGTAAGCAGCTTCTGCCACACACCCTCCTGCCTCCATGACTTTCTGCCTTGCCTCAGGCACAAAGAAATAGCTGCAGACAATCTTGGATTGAATCTTCTGAAACTGAGGGCCAAAATAAATCTTTCCTTCTTTTCTTTCCCTCAGGTATTAGTTAGAGCAATAAAAAACTGACTAACCAAACAACCAAACACACTTAATTGTGGCCAACAGAGGTCAACCACTTGATCTTCTGTTCTCAAACTAGGCCAAATTTCAATGGCTGTTTAATTACCTGCAATTCCCTTATTGATAGAAAGATGAGTTCAGCAGCTGTCTCTCAATGTAGTACATTCGGAAGCATAGTATGGTTAGTAAAAACCTCTTACACTATTAGAGCAATGTTTGTGTTCAGACTTCATGAAAAAGTGGGCAGGATCAGAATGGGCATAAATATACCCATTAGGTCTCCTGAGCTACCAGACAGACAGATCTGAAAGATATGATTGTTCCACTATAAACTATGAGCCAGTGATTCAGAGAGAACTGAGGACTTCCTTTCTGTGAATTATGATATAGAAGAAAGGTGCCAGTTCAGTGGTGATACACATTTTTTTTCAGGTCCCTTTGAATACCATGAAGGGAATGCAAATGCACTATACATTTTTGTGGCCTAACTCACTCCCTGCAATTGAAGTAGTATACCTCAGAGCAAACAATGTATTCTTCAGGATCACAAAGAAGTGGTTCTAGGACCTATGAATAAGTAGTAAATGGTCCAGGCATACCCCAAGTTAATACTGGTGTTTATGTGTGTGTTTCCTGAGAAAAATTCATAGCATTCATCAGAAACTTAAAAGTCTAACTGTTGAAGTGCAAGGCTATGGGTTTGTTGAAGGGTCTTGTAAGGTAAGTGAAAATGTATTCTCAAATGTGTTCTCAAACAGGCATTTTAAACACTTTTACCACTTGAATGCAAAGTGAGTTGTAAGTCTTTGAGTAGTTCAGTTTGACTCATCTATGCTTGACCAGAGGTGACCTAAAATTTGAAGCTCAGATCTATCAACTTGTTTGTTTCCCCACCATCTCAAGTGCAAGTTGCTTCTACAATTCATTCACATTTCCATTTTCTTAGGAAATTGTCTTACCTCTCCTTTCTCCAAATGTCTGGTTTCCAAACTCAATGAGAAAATTGAAATACAACAGTTCCTCTTCTCCACAGTTATACTTCCTGTGGTTCCCGTTGCCTGCAGTCAGCCATGACATTGTATCTTCTCACACCATCACAAGGAGGGGAGACTATACACTAAGATATTTTCAGAGGCAGACACCACATCCACATGCTTTTTATTATAGCATAATGTTATAATTACTCTATTTTATTAGTAGTTATTGTTAATCTCTTGCAGTGTCAAATTTATAAATCCAACTCTATGATAGATATGTATGTGTAGGAAAGAACATGCTGTACATAGGACTCAGTACTATCCATGGCTTCAAAGCATCCACCAGGGGCTTGGATCATATCCCTGTTAGATAAGGGGACACTACTGAATCAGAAGCAAACATTTGTACATTCTCACCTCCTGGCCTGTGGACTCTGACCCTCTCTTCCACCTGTTATTGTACATGAACTGTCCTGACTCCCATTTTCAGCAAACATTTCTTCCTCAGCATTGGATCCCATCCTTTCTCAAGGTTATCAATCCAACAAATCTCTTCATTCTGTCTCCAAAAAAAGGGGGGGGGGGCGGAATTCAAGCCTTTCCTGTGTGAATACTGCTCTGTGAATCCGAATTGTGAAAATTGCACTTACTTTTTTTCAGTTTGAAGAAAATACTGGATAGGAAAAATATTAAATTATTAGCACTAAATACAAAAGAAATTACATATAAATAATATGCCAAAATATTATGTTTAACGACCTAGATCAAAATGTGAGAATTTCAAATGCTCAGGGAAAAACATGGGCATTGATTTGACAGCTAAAAGTTTGAAGTATTACACACTTTTAAATACCATCCTGAAATCCCCATCTCGATTTACATATTCAAATATCCACCTTTTTATTTCCTTGTATTTGTCATTTAAAAAGATGATCAACTATAACTCAGAAAATGTCAAACATACCGAAAAAAGACTTGAAAATTTTTTCTTCAAGACTTTTTAGAGGTGCTACAGGTAAGGGAAATTTAGGTAGAGACTGGTGAATGTCCAAGGTCGTTTCATTAACTGTATTAGATGATGTGCCAGAGAAAGTTTCCCTTGGCAACGCTACACCCAGGGAGCCAATTGTGTATCTTCGTACGCTATTTTGAAGACATGCGTGGACAGGTACAGACACGTCTCTGTACGTGTGTCCCTGAAGATTCAGGCGATGTGCCTTTCTCTGCTTGCCCTTTGCAGAGGGGCAGCAGAAGATAGGACATTCCTCCTGGAGATCCACCCTGTTTTGCAACTTCTTCAGCAATCAGCATTCAATCAAGCAGGGCTGCACAGTCACGAATAGTCAGGCTGATTGGCTGGGCAGGACTTCCCCTGGGCATGGATTGAGCATTTTACTCCCCTATCTACAAGAAGACAACGGGCAATCAAGCAGTGCTTCTAGAAGCTCTCCACCGCTAGCCTTTCCACTGAAGTCCGACTCTCTTCTTCCAAAATCCTTGTCCTGGTGGACGTTCCAAAGGAAAGCTCCAGGTAGGGACCAGAAGAGGGCAGCTCCCAGAACAGTCTAGCTCCCCGTGGGAGAAGGGCTTCTTAGGAAGTCCATGGGGACCAAGTGGCCCGAGTCTTAGAGTGACGCGAGGAGTCCAGACAGTTCCCAGCCGGTATTTCTCTGTTAGCCACCAGCTCTGGATCCGCTGCCCTGAGCGCACGGAGCGGCGCGGGGCCGGACACCGGGAGTCCGCGGGCGGAGCCGGAGGAAGCATCTCTGTGGTGGGGAAACCCGAGCCAGACCTGTGGGGCCAGCGAAGCAGGTCCAGAACGCGCCGCCGCCGTCCCTCCGTGCCCGAGTGCACGGGCCGAGGCGCAGCGCGCATGAGAGCCTTGGCCCGGACCCTGGAGCCCGCGCAGTTGGAGCTCCCTTCCAGCCCTTGAGGCTCCGCAGGGCAGGAGAGGTCATCGCCTCTGGCTCCTGTGGGCCATAGCTTTCGCTAATGGCCTGTGGTTTCTCCTCAGGTCGCCATGGATCTTGAAGAGGACCGCAGTGGAGAAGCAGGGAAGAACTTCTTGAAGATGGGCAAAAAAAGGTAGCCGGTTTGTTTCACTTTCTGAGTTTACATGGCTTGTGAGCTCTAGCCAATTATTCTAGCTTCCAGCTCTGTAATCAAGGTCGGGAGGCTGTTATTTTAATCCTAAAACATGTAAGACAGCCTTGGGAAGTAGTCCTCTGCTTAGAGCAGAAGTTCCGTGGCTGAGTTGAGCAAGCACATTCATGCTCCCTGGGAGTTGGTGAGGCTCTGCTGTATTTTCTGGCACCACACAGGCCATTGCTCTCATCCTTTTTGTTTTATTACATTCTGTTTTATAAACAATTGTGGCCGTCCACTCACCTGGGACATTTGTTGTTGGAGCTCTGCTGTATGGTCCAGTATCATGCTTCTAGTAAACAGCTACATAAACATTGCATGTTTGTGGAATGGCAGATGGAACAGAAGCCAAAACTACATTTAAGTTGTTTTTGCTTTGTTTGAACTGGCAATGACTAATATTATATATATGACTAATTTATATATGTAGTATATAAAGAAGAGAGGAAGATGCTTATTTTAAGTACATTTTGAACACAGTGCTCCAACTGTACACAACAATTTAAACTTCCCTCTGTAGGTTCACTGTTAGCAGAAAATTGCAATGTAAATATAATGACAGATAATGCAAATTAGTGAATGTGTTACTATTATTAGAAACTAAATTTTTCAATGTATGAGAAAAAATACAAATGTGGAATCAATTAAGTGTCTAAAAATCATGTTAAATTTGAATTGGAAGCTTCAGTATCAACTCGTGATATTTAATAGTTTGTTTTTAGTTCACTGAAGGGGACGGTAAATATAAACACTAAGCGCCGGACCTTGGTTTCTAAATACCATTCCTCACTGAAAGGAATGAGCACCCCACAGAAAAACGTAATTTCAGCCAGATCTGGGACAGTGAAAATACAATGCAAGCAGAGTATCTGGTGGTACCAGAACAGGGAAGCGGAGTTTTATAGAGTAGTCCAAAGACACAGGGGCAGGCTTGAAGTAACTTCCACTGGGACAATTTGAGCATCAAAGAAATTGATTTTGAGATACTGAATACAATTGACGGATCCTTAATAAACTTTTTTGGTGGTCCTGAGGTTTGAGCTCAGGGCCTCCTGTTTGCTAGGCAGGTGCTCTACCGCTTGAGCCATGTCCCTGCCCTTTTAGCTCTTCAGGTATTTGTTGTGTTGTGGCCATCCTCAGTCCACAGTCCACATACCTATGCTTCCCATATATCTAGGATTTTAGACATGTGTCACCATGCCCAGTTGAGAAGGAATCTTGCTACTTTTTTGTTTATCTGCCCTCAAATAGTCATCCTCCTGATCTCTGCCTCCCAAGTAGTTAAGATATCAGATATAAGCCACTGCAGCTGGCCCTAAAGGAACCTTCAATATGCTGCTGTCATATTGGAACCTGAATTATAATTAGTTCAGGCAAGGATTGTCAATGGAACCCAAACCTTGCAGAGAAAAGTTATATCTAATAATTATCTCCACGGTTCTTCTTAGTAATGGGAAGAAGGAAAATGTACTTTTCTAATGAGAGATTTTGCTGTTTACATCTTAATTAAGTGTGCAGACATTCAGCATGTATGGTGGAATAGACTGCAGAGTACCTTAGTGAGGGATAGAGTTTGAGTACACAGCACCATGTAGATGATCTGTTTGCAAAAATATGTAGATCAAATCTAATCAAACTTCTAGTTTGGAGTTATCCAATAGAAATGCAGTGTGTGACGCATTTGTAATTTTCTAGCATTGGTGTTCAAAAAAAAAGGCAGGAAAAACTATGTTTGAAAAATTACTGGCCCAATGTGTCCCAAATATAATAATTTCTACATGTAATCAAAATTATGAGTACCATAGTTTACATTCTTGTCTTCACATTCAGTCCTCTATTCTGGGGTGGGTTTTACATTTACTATACATCTCTATTTGTACTTAGTTTGTAACTGATGCATCCCACGTTCATCCAAATGTTTTCATTTGTGGAAAATAGGCCCAATACAAATATAAGCAATGTTATTAAAATCAGGTCATGCTAAGGAGAGGTCACATACAAGGCAGTGAGGTTAAAAGAAGGAAGTTAAGGTGAATATGGTTGATGTACTTTCTATATAAGAATGAATTGCTATTAATTTTCTTAGATGTGATATTGGTAACAGAATGTGTGAGGCCATAATATTTGCAACTTACTTAGATAGTTTAACAAAATATGAACAAATGATAATATATACTTCCTTGTTTAGACAAAGAAAATATAGTCAAAATGTTAGCAATTGTTTAATTGAGGTGAGTTACATTGGTTGACAGTATTATATTCTTTCTGTTTTTCTAATTATTTGAAAATTTTCAAATAAAAACTTTTCATATAAATAAAGAAAAAGACTCCAGAATGGAGGATAGTCTGCTTTTTTGTCTTTAACTTTTTTATCATGATTTTTTAAAACTATGACAAAATCATTTAGGTATATTTGAGTGAGAAGTACTGAGTATATATGGAGGGGAATGGTAGGGAAAATGGTTTAATCCTGCACATATCTTCATTTTATTACTGGTTCCAGAATGTCCTACAGACTTTTCTTCAAATTAGATTTTTTTTAAGTTAAGTAGTTCTTATTAGACTGTGCTCATCATCATTGACTTTAATCTGGGATTGTAAAAAAGCATTGAATTTTGCTTTTAGATAATGCTACAGTGATACTACTACCTGGACTAACTGTATTTGCAAATATTCTTCAATAAAATGATGGGTTTTTAAAAAATTCAAGCATGTTTTTTCTTTTTGGTGCTATTTGGGTTTGAATTCAGGGGCTCACACTGCTAGGCAGGTGCTCTACCACTTGAGCCACGCCCCTAGCCCTTGTTGCTTTTAGTTATTTTTTGGGTAGGCTGTTGAATTTTTACCTGGGCCAGATTGAATGATGATTCTCCTACTTAAGTTTCCCTACATAGCTGAGATTGCAGATTGCCCACCACCATGCCCAGCTTTTTTTTTATTAAGATGGGGCCTCACAAACTTTTTATAGGGGCTGGCCTTGAACCTTGATCCTCCTGATCCCTACCTCCCAGGCATAAGCCACTATGCCAGGCTTATTTTTTTGATTTTTCCTTTCTTTCTTTTTTGTTTTGTTTAAATTGTACTGGGGATCAAACTCAGGGCTTGAACATTCTAGTAAGTGTACTACCACTGAGCTATGCTCCCAGTTCCCTAAAATGATGTTTGATGAGCAAATTGCCTTTGTAAGCACTGTTTCCTGCTGATGAGGATTGTGAGTAATCTAGGTGACACTTCATGTGAAAGTGAATTTTTGTACAACACAGTATCTCAGAAGTAGGAGGTCATACCTTACACTTGGAATTTAGGGGACAAACTTTCATAAATTATGGCTTCCTTCCAGCAGTGGGACCCAAGATGAGTTAGTTAACTCTTCTGGCTCCTCTGTGATCTTCTCATCTCTAAAAGAACAAAAGTGTGCCTCCCTCAGAGTTGTTTACGAACAGGGAAGTACTCACTTAGCAGTACCTGCAGTTTATTAACTTCTCCAAAGTAGTGTCAGTTTTAGAGAACAAGAATATAAAAAGCTCAGAGTTAAATGTCAAGTGATTATGGCCATTGCTCTCCTTTGATCTGGGTTCTGGGGAAACTGAATGAGCCTCTCCTGAAAATAAGGTAGAACTAAACCTGAAGAGGCTTGTGTGTTTGTGTCTAACATCATGGAAAACCTAATACAAATAAACTGGATATTTTCGTTAGCAATCTCTTCAGCTCTTTGTCCTCATTATATAAAGAGGAAAGATTTTGAACTCAAAATCTTTGCAAAAATAAGGCTATTCTTTTCTAAAATAGTCTTTCCTTCCTATGTACTAGAAGTGAGGCTGGGTTGTTATGGTTAGTTTGCTTTCCTGTCCTAGGTGGTGGTCACACACAGTGGAAAACGTGGGTTATTGAGTTAGATTCATTTAACTTTCAGCTTAAAATAATTGTTGACCTTTTTCTAAAAGGAAAGCTTTTTTTTAAAAAAAAAAAACCAATTTACAGAACATCTTTTTTTTCACCATTGCTTTTTAGATTGCATTTATTTCCATAATGGTCCACTTAGGGCTGGAGGCATACTTTCAGAATTAGATTAGCTCATAGTGATCTGATTACTTTGTTTCGTAGGCTACTTAGGCCCAACATATGATTATTACTGCTAGCTGTTTACTAACTGGAATGTTTAAAAATAACAACTATGTAGTGCATAGATAGAATGTCTGTTGCTAGAATTATTCAGATAGTAATCAAGGAGATTAATACTGAAAGGATGAATGATTTTGTAAGAATAAAAGTAAAAAGCACTCATTTTAGTGTGTGTTATTGTAATTGCAAAAGGTATGTATGTGTGTATTCATCACAGAAAAACTAGGAAGTACCCAAGGCACAAAGATGGAAATATTTTTATAGAAATCCAAATATGCATTGATAAACACATTTATAAAGTTGTAAGATATATGTAAACATTTTTGCTTAGAATTCATAAATGATACACCATACTACTAATCTGCTTTTTAATGAATATTGTGTGCATGTTTCTTTCCTAGTTGTCATTAAATGTGAGCTCTATAAATTTGGTAAAATTAAAATTTTCTGTAAAGTTTTTTGTAACTCCTTTGCTGTGTTTTTCAGTAAAAAGGAGAAGGAGAAGAAACCAACTGTCAGTACGTTTGCAATGGTGAGTTTTGAACTTACTCACTATTCTAAATACCTTTGGAAATTTGACTTCTCCTTCCCAGAAATGACATGTTTCATCTGGTGTAATATTTTCTTCCACAATATAGGAGAGGAAAGACAAAATGAATTGGTTGGGTTTTGCTTATTTCAGAGGAGGCGGATTACTTGCCATGCAGATTGAGCCTCAATAGCCACCCTTCCTGGCACACATTTCAATATTCTCCTTGCTAGTTGTGTTGCCACTGACCTATTGCCTACACAGACATTTCTCCCAGTGATAAGTTTTGCCACCTGGGGAGAGTAAATCTACTACATTGTATGCTGTCTCTAATGGCTCTGACATCCTGGTAAGTTTGAGGTCAAAGTCCCAAGTACCCATAATAATAAAATGTATCAATGGATTATTTATTACTAAGAATTTGTTTAAGGCATATTCCTCTGTGCTGAACAACTGAAAATCTTGAATTTGAAAACATTAACCTACTTCACTTTGTGGTTTCATGGTGGTTGTGGAGAAGCTGTTCTTTAATCCCACAAGGAATAAGACAGGAATTTATGGGTTGTTATTGATGAACGCTATCTTCCTGCATCCCTACTTTATTCAAAATAGAGTGCAAACGGAGGTGAATTTAGGTGATCTCTTCCGGGGAGCAGAACCCAGGAGACTTCTGAGCACACACTTTATAATTCACCCGTTTTACACTACACATTTTGGAGTAGGGAGGAGTGGGTAGACTTTTGTGCAAAATGGGTCTTACTAAATTGAATATAAAAAATGGTTGTTGGTAGGAAAAAATGGCCACATGACTTTTGCACTGAGGACTCTGGTTATCTTATACCATCTTTGTCTTTCCTGTGTTACAGCTTCTCTTTCAATGTCTCTTCCTTTTGTTTCATCCCCACTGCCTTTGAACATTTTGGGAGAAGAGACTAGATTCACAGGAAGACTACTTGAGTAGTCTTGACAGTTTTTGTTTCAGATTTCATTCTTGTATGGAAAGAAGCTTTTATGTCAAAGTTGGATTTATTCCCCAAATTTAATTTCATTTTTGTTATTTTAAACCAAAACATTCTGTTTGTCTAGTTAAAGTTTTTGTTTTGTTTTGTTTTATTTTGGTGCTAAGGTTTAAACCCATAGCCTCATGCATGCTGAGCACACCCTCTGCCATTGAGCTTCCCTCTAGTCCTATAATTTCATTTTTATTTGTAAATTAAATTTTTAAAAATTTAGGATTATTAAATTGTAGAAAATGTAATATGCATATACAATAGGTTACTACTCTTAATATTCAAGTCAAGCCACAAAAGAATAAAAGTCTGGATCCTGAATGGGAAATAATAATAATCACACACCCAAAGCATGATGTGCCAGGGATTAATCTAAATACATTATATACAAACTCTTTTAATCCTTAAACCTCCCTTTGATGTAGATATTACTATTGTTGCAATCTTACAGAAGAAACAGGCCAGACATTTACTTGTCCCAGGATACACAGCAGGGCCAGGAAAGAGAGAATATATCCTAAGATTTTTCAGTGCAGTATAACTCAGGTGGCTTTTCCTCTATGACATTTTCCTGAAGAAAAAAAAAATCATAAAACTGTGAACCTGACTTGTATAATCGAAACATATAAACTCAAGGACAGAATCATAAAGTTAAAAAAAAATTTATTGTGTTAATGTTGTAGTGGGGGTTCATCGTGACATTTACAAAAGTGCTTACAATGTATCTTAGTTAAATTTCCCTCTTCCACCATTTTCCTTTATTCCCCTTCCACCTCTTCTTAGAACAGTTTCAACAGGTCTTTTTTCCATTTTCATACCAAGCACAGTATGTCCACCATATTCATCCTCCTTTACCCTTTCCTACATCTTCCTCCCTCCCACTGGCACCAACCCCTAGACAGAGCCCATTTTACCTTCTTGTCCTTTGTTTTTGAAAAAAGACATTTCTGTTTGTTTAAGGTAGCTACACAGGGAGTTTCATCCTGACATTTCCATGTGTAGATGTATTATAACCCAAACTGTTTAACTCCTTCCATTTTCTCTCTTCTGCCTGTTGAAATCACCATTGGAGGGGGAGACTAAGGTAGAAAGGAGAGTCATAAAGTTTAATGATAAAATGCTGTTGTTATTGGCAAATTGGATTACTATCCATTTCCAGCTAAGTTTATGATGAAAAATTTCAAACATTTTTTAAAAATAGCAAAATTCCCTCTGCTATATCCATCATATATAGCTAATTAACATTTTTCCACATTTCACCTAAAATTATAGGTTTTGTGATAATTTATACACATTTTTATCTCAAAAAAAATTTTACAAAACATTTTACTATTGAACACACTGCAGTGATCAAATTTAGCAAATGAGTATTAATTTCTTAATATTATGTAACATTTTATATATATTTAAAACTTCCCAAATATCTCCAAAAGCTGTCACCCCAGTTATTGTGTGTATCTGTGGTGCTGGTATCAAACCCAGGACCTCACACATGCTAGGGAATGTAACTGGACTATTTTAATCATGACCTGATAATATCATTTAACTTGATTTTCCATGCTTTGCTTTCTTGTATGCTGAAAGTTAGATTTAAATGTTTCATTACATTCAGATTATACATTTTAGGTAAAACATTGTGTGGGGGTTGCTGAATATTCCATGTCTTATCACATCAGCAAACATCAAATATCAGGGTATTCAACTTTTTTATGATGCTAAGTTTGATCACTTGCTTAAAGTGAAGATAGATGTATTCCCTGCTCCCATTATAGAAGGATCTCTACTCCCTCGCAACAATGGAGGAATCACGGGAATACTTGTTTTATTTCATATGGTATCTACTGATGATCCCCTGCCTCGGGTTCTTGAAATAATTATTTCCTTTATTCCATAGGATACTGAATCATCTCAGCCTACTTCCTATTTTTCAACAATTGTCTTATTTGGCCGTGTTCCCAATTTACTAGCCACTCTTTCTCTTCTTCCTTTGGCCCTAACATCATCAAAAGTATAGTCTACATGCTCTCTCTATTACTTCATCTCGAAATTATTCTTGATTCCCTCATTCTTATCTCTTTCTGAATGATCTTATCTATTTCTTTGACTTCTATAAAACTCTACCTCACATGTTGAGTTCTCTCTGTGTCCTTCCTGGATAGCATTTCCTGGATGAGTAACCAAAGGGTTCATTGACACTTCTGTGCTCTCTGTTAAACCCTTGCCGCTTCCAGTTTGTCCCAGGTCCATGAAGGGTGCCTCTTGGTCAATATGCTTTTTCTGGCTGCTTCCATACCTCACACCCCAAACTCGAGGGCCCTCAATCTTGTCTAAGCTTGTTGTGATCTTTCCCATCTCTGCTTAATTTTTTTTCTTCTGGCTAGAATATCTTTCTTCTTGCTTCTGAACACCTGCTCTACTTTCAAGACTGGAAAGAAGCATCACCTCCTCTGTGAAGGTTTTCCACAAAAGAGGAAATAACTGCTGAATTTTGAGTCTGTTCTGTATGCTATGTCAAAGCACACAAAATACAAATTGGATGTACTTTTTACTTCATCTTCTTTTTCTTTAAACTCTGACAGCAGTGGCTATTTGGTATTTATTTGCTAGATTTTATCTGAAATTGAGTAGACAGCAAATGAATTTGATTTTTTGTGCATTTTAATTAGAGTCTCTAAGAGAAGATATATAGTTTCTGCCTATGTCACTTCCCTTTTTTAAAGATAGAAGATGACAAAGAATGTGCTGTCCAAATTTAGCCTGTACTTCAGTAAAGTATGAAATATGCCCAAACATTATTCTCTTCTTAGGGTTTTAATTTTTGAAGAATGTGATTTGTAGTGGGTATGGAAAGTTATGTCATCATTCTAAACGTAAGCTCATTTTGATTACATTTTTAGAAAAACTTAAAATCCAAGTATATAACTACTATAATGTGGGATATTCTTTCACTATACCTTAACTTTCACTAATGTTTCATAAAATTTGATTTTGCTTTCTCTCCTGACTTGGAGACTGCCATTCACTGCTACCATTAGATATTCTGCTCTTTATTTTTCCACTTGTCAATTTAGTACTTATTCCCACTTACTTCTACTGTACTACTGTAATTTCTTTGTTATATAGCTTGGCAATTAGTTTCTCGCCATGGAAAGTGAATATAAGCTCTAAAACCTTGCTTCCTACTGCTTTGTCTGTATGTCATCTGATCCCTGATCTTTGCTTTGGTTTCCATTTTGTCCCTAGAATTTTATTTTCTATGAATTTTACTCTCTGTCTTCTATTACAATCTCGCTGCCTATGGCTACATGGTGGATCCTCATAACAACCACCTGCCTTAGAGTTTATGCACAGACTCCCACATCTGGTTTGGTTCTTGTCTGTTTTTGTTGTTGCTGTTGTTTGTTTTTCAATTTTCTCTTCTTTCAATCCTTAACCAGTTCCTTGACTTATACAGGAGAAGTATTAATTGCTTACCAGGTGGGTCCTAAGGCCATTCTTCTTTGTGTCTTCCTCCCATCACTTTTTGTATTCAGAGAACCCTTTCTTTCTTTTCTGTGACTTGCTCATAATTCAGGAAATTGTGCAGATCTGTACTGGCCATGTTCATGAGAGGCCATGTTGTACCACCTCTCAGGAAAAATGTTCCTTGAGAAACATGCATCCAACTCATTCTTTTCCTCTTCCTCCTCCTCATTATTAAATACTGATTATGTTAAAAATCATTTTGTATCTATACTAATTGTATTGTTGACCAGATTATTAATCTAAGAGTCTTTTTTCAAATGACAAAATGTTTCCTTAGTGGTATCTTTGGAGGAGCCTTTGACATTCCAGCTTTTTCCTGTGAGATGAAAACTGACCTCTATTCTTAGAAACCAAAGCATCAAATGCTGTGATTGTACTATAGTCTTGGTAAAGACTTTGACAATTCTCATTAGCTCTTATATACGAAGAGAAGATAGACTGAGTCCACTATGAAGAATTAGGCCAGAAGTCAGCCAAATGCCCATTTCAGATTATATTATTGCAGTAGATTAATAAAGGTAGAGGGGTAGCTTAGTCTAAAGTATTCTGAAAATGTTTGAAGTTAGCATCCGTTCTGAAGGCAAAGAAAATCATCTACAAAACTGTGCTAATTGTGCCTATGCTGTCTTTTCTTCTCTTTCTTAGTTTCGCTATGCAGGTTTGCTTGACAAGCTGTACATGGTGTTGGGAACTTTGGGAGCCATTATCCATGGAGCTGCACTCCCACTCATGATGCTTGTGTTCGGAGAAATGACAGATAGCTTTGCAGATGCAGGAAGTAATTTTCCACCAAACATTACTAATCAAAGTAAGTATTGTTTTCGGTACCAATTTTACTGGAAATTTACAAAAAACACTTACTTGAAGTGACATTTGCAGAATTTTTACTAAATCTGCACTACTGTGTTTAGTCCTCTGGGAGATGGAGGGCCTGAACTACAGTTCATATTTGTTATAAACTTGAGAAGGTAATATTCACAAGAATTAGCATGCCCAATGGAACTGTTGTAAGAAATATGTAGAAATGAAGAGGCCTCTGTGATATCAGAAATATCCTACACATGGGGAGACGTGTAGAACCATGATGAGATTTTGAATGATAACCTGGGATCAGTAATGAAAGTCCCTAACAGATTTGGAAATGAAGTCCAGAATGATTCTAAAATTTTTAGCCTGAGAAATTAGAAGGATGTAGTTGCTATGAATTGAAATGAGAAAAATGGGGGGAGAATTGGCTTTGGTTTTAAATAACAGAAGGACCTTGTCATGAGTTGGGCTGTCCAGAAGCAGATGCAGGAATAGAGAAATGGAGACTATAGAAAGTGTGCTTTTGCATGTGCTTGCTTGGGTGTGTGTATGCTTGTAATTTAGGATTTAACATTTTGTTTGTGTGTTTATAGAAATAATCCAAAAGAGAGAAGAAAATGAGAAGTGATGTTTGAAAAAGAAAGGGAAGGGATTTGATAGAGTGATAACCTTGAGAAAGGATGGGATTCAATTCTCAAAAGGAAATGTTTGCTTTAAGAGAGGAGAAAGGACAGTTTATCTCTAATAATAGGTGGGAGAGCATAGTATTAGGGTGTCAAGTCCAAAGATGGATAGATGAGAAGGTGAGAATCTGTGGAGATTCTCTGCTTATTACAGTAGTCCCCATTCATCTGCTGGGAATATGTTCCAAGACTCCTAGCAGATACCTAAAGCCATGGACAATATTGAACACTATATATACTGTGTTTTTTTTCCTACATAAATAACTGTGATGAAGTTTAATTTATAAATTAGGCACAGTAAAGGATTAATAATAGTAACTAATAATAAAATAGAACAATTATAACAATATGCTATAATAAATATTATGTGAATCTGGTGTCTCTGTCTCTAAAAATGTCATATTGTGTTGTCCTCCCCCTCCTTCCTGTGGTGGTGTGAGAAGATACAATGTCATGATTGACTACAGGAAACTCAAACCACAGAAAGTGTAACTGTGGGGAAGGGCAAATGTTATACTTCAATTTTCTCAGAGAGGTTGCAAGCCAGACATTTGTCTAATAAAGAAAAGAGAAGTACAGCAGCCTGCTAGGGCAGTGGGAATATAAATGGACTATTGAAATAATTTGTGTGTGATGCATGTACTCAAGATTGTGAGTAGATAGGTAGATCTGAGCTTCAAACTTTAGATCAGCTCTGGTCAAGCATAGATTGAGTCAAACTGAACTACTCAAAGACTTACAACTCAGTTTTCATCCAGATGGTAAAAGTGTTTAAAATGTCTGTTTGAGAATAGCCTTGAGAATATAACATTTCCACTTAGCTTACAATGACCTTTCAACAAACTCAGGGCCTTGCACAGCAACATTTGGACTTTTTAGTCTCTGATGAATGCTGTGAATCCTTTCTCAAGAAATACACACATAAATATTGATATCAGTTGGGGGTATATATGGAACATTTGATACTTGTTCCTAAGTCCTGGGAACCACTTCTTTGTGATCCTGAAGTATGCTTTGCTCACTCTGAGATAGGGCTACTTCAGTTCTGTGAATGCAGGTTGTGAGTTGGGCCATAAAAATGTATAGTATATTTGAACCCTGAAAAATTCTTATGCATTTATTATCTCCCTTTATGGCATTCGAAGGGACCTGCAAAAAGATCCCTTGTCAGCATTGAACTGGCACCTTTCTTTTCTTCCATTCATCGAAAGGAAATCCTCAGTGATTTCTGAATGCATTGGCTCATTTACACCTATATGTTGCAACATCCTTACTAGTTTATAGTGGAATAATCATATCTTTCAGCCTTGGGTTGTAATGTAACAAACCTCACGTGTGCGTTTATGGTCATTCTTATCCTACCCACTTTTTCATGAAGTCTGAACACAAACATTGCTCTCTAACAGTGTGGAAGGTGTTAATTAATCCTGTGGTACTTCAGTATGCACTACATTTAGGGACAACTGCTGAACTCATCTGCCTAGCAATAAGGAAATTATAGGTATTTTATCAGTTGTTGAAATTTGGCCCAGTCTGAGAACAGCAGACCAGCAAAGAGCTGTCTGAAACTACCAGATCTGATTTCTGCTGGGTTACCATAAACTAAGCTTGTTGTGTTAGTTTCATTGCTGTGACAAATATTTATGAGAAAGCACATAAAAGAGGAGAGGTTTATTTTTGGTGGGGGGGCTCATGGCTTTAGAGGTTTGAATCCAGATTTGGCTGTTATTCCATTGTTTTGGGTCTGAAGCTAGGAAGAATATCATGGCATGTGACCAACATAGTTCACCTCATGGTGACTGGAAAGTAGAAAGAAAGACGGAAGGGGGCCAGGACAAGATACCTTTCAAAGACTCACCCCAGTGACCTACTGCCTTCACCTAGGCCCACCCTGAAATTTTTCATCTCCTCTAAAAGATTCCATTGAATTATGAGTCCATCTGTAGATTAATCTGCTGATTAGGTCAGAGCCATCATGATACAATCACTTTTCAATGTTTAGATACACCAGTTGGAGATCAAGCCTTTGACACATTAATCTTTTTGTGACACTTGATATCCAAACCATAACACAACTTTTTTTTTAAATGGTATTGCATTTTATCTCCATCATCCAGTCGTTAATTGGTTCTTACTTTATTAAGGAAACAAATGTTCTCTTCAGATAAAAGTGCTAACTATTACCAACTTTACCTGGACCACCAATATGTAAGGATAGACAGTGCTGTGGTGTGAATGTCTGTGATCTCCAACATTCATACATTGAAATCCTAACTCCTGATGTGATGGTATTTGGAGGTAGTGCCTTTGGTAGTTGATTAGGTCCTGAGGTAAGGCCCTTGTAAATGTGATCAGAACTTTTAGGAAAGTAGCAGAATCAGAATGTCAGGCAGGTCATCCAGCAGGCACAGCTCAAATGTCACAGCTGCACAGGTGAGGAGACTGTAACTCCTGGAAGCATCTGGTCACCTGCAGGAAGCCTAATACACTGAGAGGCAGGCTGAAGCCAGGGGGATGGATCAGATGAAAGGCCCAATTCCTCTTGCTATGGTTGATGGAGCTTCCTTCAGAAGAAACCGGGAAAATTGGAATCAATGTTCTTGAGGAAGGGCCCATGTATCATTTCAATCTGTGATTTGATGCCTCTTCTATGATCAGAGAACCCCCCTGTATAAATAATTTCTGTCATGAATGCACAGCAGTAACAACATTTCAAATGAAAGTAGCCCAGGAGGAAAGTAATTCAGGGGACCCAGAGCTGTGGTCTCTTCTGCTGGCCTGCAGGCTTACCACTCACAAAGGTGCTGAGGTCACCCTGAGAGTTAGAACACCTGTAGCCCAGGGACAGCCTGTGTCCAAGCTATTCTCCAGTCTTGCTCATTCAGCTCTATCTTCCACCCTTGCCCACCTTTGTCCAGTTCTCCGTACATTGTCAGAGAGAGGTTTTTTTTTTTCCCTTGTTGTTTTGGTACTGGGGTTTGAACTCAGGGTTTTGTGCTTGCTAAGTAAGTGACCTACCTCTTCAGCCAGGCGTTTAGCCCTTCAGAGTAATATTTAAAAAACATGTCAGGCCACCTCTTTCTCACTGGCTTCAACATTGAATAACTAACAGTGGCTCATGTAGTCCACGTAATCAGCCTTCTGCCCCATCAGTCTCATTGCGCATCACCTACTCACTGTAGTCCTCCCATGCTGACCTTCCTGTTCCTGAAATACTCCAGTCCCTTCCTGGCTTGGGGCCATGCAAACCATGCCCCATCTCTCTCTAATGCTGCTGCTTATCACTCAGTTCTCCTTTTGGAAAGACCTTTTGCCTCCAACCCACCCCAAAGTCACTATAATATTATGACTTTATTTACTATTAAGAGTTATTACAGAGCAGGAGTCCTGGCAAGGCAGCTGTTTCTCCCTAGGGTACCGAGGTTGAAGCCTTAGGGGCATGGTGAGGAGCTTCACAGGCAGAGTGAATGTCAACCCTAAGGGCTCATTTGCCTCCCACCAGCTGTGTGCAGGTCCCTCGTCCCACCTGCAGGCAACAGTGGAGGCATCAGTGAAGACAGAGGGGTACAGGGAGAGCCCACAGCAGTGACTGCTACAGAATAATGTCAGAGACCAGGGTTGACACCAGGGACTGCAGATCACCAAGCCACAGAACCACACCTGAGGGCTGACAGGCAATTTACAGGATGTGAACATTCACAGACTGTGGTGTTGGGCTAGTGAGAAAATCAAGGTCAAGGGAAATCTTCCCAGCTTTAAACTGATGGAATCTACTGTTAAAAGAAGATACAGTGACTTTGAATGGCTGCGAAGTGAATTAGAAAGAGAAAACAAAACTTTAGTTCTCCTGGTACCTGGGAAAGCATTTTTTTTTTTTGGTTAAGTTCCTTTTAGAAGAGATGACAAAATATTTAAGGACATTTTTATTGAAGAAAGGAAGCAAGAGATAGCACAGTTTATAAAGAACATCGCTGGTCATCCTCTGGACCAGAATGAAAGTTGTTGTCATATTTTTAAAGGAGGAAGTAATAGATAAAAGCTATACTCCATCTAAAATGAAGACATGCCTGAAACTTAGTGAGAAGAGGCAAAAGGTGACCATTAATATGCATCAGTGAAGAACTAACTTAGAAACAAACTGCTGTAACATCCCTTTGATGCTAACACTCCTACGCTTTGTTTAGTTTAGTTTTGTCAGTTGGCAAGAAGTTAATTTGCTTTAATGAAAAATCCCTCAGTCCAGCCTTTCTCTGTAAAGAACTCTTCCTTGCTGTTCTAATGTGGTGCACATAAAACACCCAAGCCATCCCATATAACCTGTGTTGTCCTAACTAAAGTTGCTGATTGGTTTTGTTCACAGTTTTTGTGTCATGTTTGCTTCTTGAATCTGATTAGGATATTTCTCAGTGCCCTTTTAATGTAATGTCATTTCATTTAATTTCTGGGTAGGAGCACCACACCACCCCTTTCCAGTGCTAATACAGAAGACACACTTGGTCTTCTTTTTTTTAATTATTGTGCTGGGAGTACATTGTGAAATTTATAATTGTTCTTACGATACATCAAACATATCATATGGAAGACACATTTGTCTATGTATTTATGTAGCTTCCTTCTGGCCTATAATTCCTTTCACATTGAGGAGGCTCTGGGAAGGCTCTCCTGAGGTCATCTTCTGAACTCACTATGTAGTCATTCCTTTTCTGAGGTCTCATTTCAGGGTCTGCTTAGGCTTCTCTTTCCTGGATGCTCCAGTGCCTACGCTGTTATCAGTTCTCTACTGCATCTTCTCTTCTTAACATGTAGAAAATATTGTTAGTCTAAAAACTTAGTGTCGTGAACATAAGCAAAATATTTTGCTTTTACTAGAATATAAGCTTTCACAAGGGCATAAGTGTTGACTCCTTTTTTTATTTCTATAGTCTTGGCACCTTTTTTTGTTTGTTTGTTTTTTTGGTGGTGGTACTGGAGTTTGAAATCAGGGCTTCACACTTGCTAGGCAGGCACTGTACCACTTAAGCCAATCTCTAGTCCATTTGGCATGGTCACTATGCCCTTAAGGACATAGGCTTTGGGCATACAAAAGCCCACAGAAAACTTACACATTGTTTCTTTTTATGCTGGAGCAGCTCTGTCCTGGGACAGTGATTTCACAGTGCCCTCGCTACTAGAATGAAGAGGAAGGTTAAATAAAATACCCAGAAAATAGTTGGTTGATATTTTTAAAATACTATGCTGTTATGTGTATATTATTGCAATATTGCAAATGGATTAATAGACAGTATTGGCCTTGGTTTTTGTCCTTTCAGTAATGTGGTCTGTTATTGAAGATTATAAATTGAAGCAATAGGATTTTATTGTTATTTCCAAAGATAAAGTCTGATGACAATATGAAGACCTGATTGGAGTAGAAATATAAGTTAGGAAGCTTCTGTTAGAGTAGAGTGGAGGTAATGGAGAACTGAAGCAGAGCACTCACTACGAGGAGGGATAGGGTTTGAACAGCTCTGGGTACATATTTAGAAATCACTGAAGCTCTAGAAGTGATTAAGGTCACTCTGTGAGCATGCATGGAATGTTGTAAAACACCAATATTTAGGGAGGAGGGTCAGCACAAAAAGCCAGTGGATGAGTGGTGGAAGAACCATGAGTGTGAGGTTCTAGAAGCCAGAGACAAAGTAGTAAAGAGTCTGAGTATGTTATCAAAATAAACTAAAGTACAGTTACCTTTCCTATCCTGATAATTTGGCTATTACTGCTATAAAACCTAGAGACTTTCTGGCTTTTCCCACCAAAAAAGAGACAAGATTAATTTTTAAATACTATTTACATATTTTTCATTGTAACTGTTGATTTGGGCAGTAGCCCTTTGAGAATCATACATATAAAAAGTTACTGGACTGTATGTTCTTTAAGGCTATTTCACCTTGGAAGTTTCAATTTTGTGAAAGCATATCACAAAAAGACTTTTGTGGGGCCACATAGAGGAGGGGAAAATCTCTGAATTTGGGAAGTTTTTAATTAACAGAGGTTGATTAGAGGAAAATAAATGCTGATTGGAGGAGGTCCAAAGAATATGATGTCTTTATTCTATTCTTTGATCACCAGAGGTTTACCCAGTTTTTATCCTGACTGGTGCACTTTGACACTGATGAAGCACAAGTGACAGAAACTTGGTGACAGAGTTGGTTTCTGATCAATGAGTCCTTACGTGGTATAGTTGTATGTATAAACACAGAAGAGCCAATTTTGCCCTTGAATATATTTTTAAAACTTTTTTGTCTGCATAAAAATAACTCTAGACTTAGAAACTATCATTGTCAAAGAACATGTGCTTAAATTCTCTTGGTTCCTAATGTTTAGAATTGAGAAAACTACTGCTTGGGCCCAGGTGCCTCCTCGAGCCTGCCCAACTGCTGCTACTGAGAAGGCCCGAAAGGCGAGGCTTACTCCGCTGCACTCCTCCTACTCCTCCTTTATATATTAAAAACAAACAAACAAAAAGAGCAACAACAACAAAAAGAATTGAGAAAACAAGTGCAGGTTGGCCATCCTTAATCTGAAATCTGAAAATCTGAGACATTCTGAAATTGGAAACCTTTTAACCATCAGGCCTCATTTGGGGGTTTGGACTTTTGGCATAGGAACACTCAGTAAAGTCTGTGCAATTATTCCAAAATCTGAAAAAAAAATTCAAAATCTGAAATACTTCTAGTTCCAAGCATTTTAGCTAAGGGATATTCAACTGGAGTAGCAATGAAGAGAAAACAAATTATTGTGTTAGACTTGAAAATTGGTCTTGATTGTTAATGATACACAATTTTGACAACTAATACTATTTAGAAACATTTCCTGGCTAAATAGAGAAGACTGATACTCCACAATGACTTTCCAAGATCAAATTGGAGAAAAATATTACCCTGGGATTCAGTATCCTGTTTTATTTTTGAAAATGTGGAATAGAAGAAATCTCAACTCATTTAAATAAAATTTCAGTCTTGAAAAACTTTGTTGTATTGACATACGGTGAAGCAGTCAAGGATCTCTCCTATGTGTGTGCTATGTCTCTGCATCTCTTTCATTGCTTCCTTACTTTCTATTTTACCCTTTAGTGTAGTTTTTCCATGGCTTTGTGCTTAGGCTGCTATTCTCCACCCTATATTAAGAGGTAAGGAGAGGTTTTTGTTTTTTTGTTTTTTTTCTTCTCTCCTAAATTTAGCTGTGGCACATGACTCCTTTATATCTGAAGTCTTTCCAGAGCTGAAGGATCACAGTCTGAATACTTAATAGACATCTTCAATTGAAGATAAAATAAAAGTGTTCAAAACTAAATTTATAGTCTTCCTTCACCTGTGCAGACCATCTCATTTGATGGGTTATTTCTCACCATGACACCATCATTATCTAAGTGCTTAGACTTGAGGTCTCTGTCACTTTTACTTTTACTCTCCACTTACATCCTGTCAGTTACTAGGTCCTATGGCTTCTTCCTCAATGAATCTTGTATTTCCTTTGTTTTCTATTCTCATTCAGATTTTCCTTCCCTATATAACTGTAATAGCTCAAGCCCCTTAGTTTATATTCTCATTAATCTTATATATTGATGTAAGCCAATTTGTCCATACCGCTAAATAAATTGACTTTTTAGCTCAAAACCATGGAATGTCTGTAGTCTGTTTTCATATACCATACCTGCCTGGCTCAGACTATCTAACCAACCACATATTTCATTATATCCACAGAACCCAACCCAATACCCCACCACATTGGTTCATTCAGTCTTCAAATGTGCTGTAGACTTTTGTACACATTGTTTTCTTTGCCAAAAATACTTTTCCTCCCCTTTCCCATACCCATCAAGATCAGACTCATCTGCACAAGCTCACACATATTGTATCCTAACTTTTTTTGTAATGACTACAGGATTTAAAGTGTGCTTCCCCAGTGATCCAGTAGTCTTGATTTTGATAACTTATCCTATAACATATACTGTATATTTTGTATAAGTGTTTGTTACGTATTTGTACAAGTATGGTTGGTGCAACATTGTAACAGTAAAGTGTTAGAAACCACAAAAATAGATACACCTTTGAAAAAACAGATACACAGGTATACTGACATAGAAAATTAGCCCCTGAATGTAGACTGAGATTCTGTTTTTAAAAAACAAAGTATGTGGGTGGACATGGTACTACACAACTGTAATCCCAGACACTAGAGGCAGAGGCAGGAGGATCTCGAGTTCAAAGCAAGCCTGGGCAAAGTTAGCCAGACCCTGTGTCAAAAACAAAATACAAACAACAGTGTTGGAGGGGTAGCTCAGATGGTAGGGTGCTATCCTACCATGCGCGGGGCATTAAGTTCAGTCTTCACTATTGCAAAAGCAAAAACAAAGCTAAGCATTTCTAAGTGTGTGTGTTGTGTATATGTGAACATGCGTACATAATAGAAATCTGGAAAATACACATTATGTTGAACGGTGGTTATGTGAGTGTGTGGGGGTAAAATTATGAAGGAATTTTTTAATGTGTTTGTTTAAAAAATGTTAGCATTTCCTTGTACTGGGTGATGCTCAGAGGTATTTATTTCACTATTCTTTGTATGTGAGAACTTTAAATGAAAATACAAGTAGAGAAATGCAGTATTATATTTTAAGTATTTACTTAAGTGTTATGGATACATTAGCATTTATTAATGTGGGTTTTTTCTTGCAAATAATTTGATCTGGGTGTGATTGCCCACAATCAGCAGGGAAGTAGTTGAATGGATGTCATAAGGCTTACACAGAATTATAGATGAGACAATTTCTTCTGTTATGTGTAAATTATTAATTGAAATGTGTTTGATTTATGTTATGTGCTTATTTTTAATGTAGATTAAATAAATGGTATGTGTTTGTTTTATGGTGGTCTAGGTGAAATCGACAAAACAGAGATCTACAAGAAACTGGAGGAAGAAATGACCACGTAATAAACGCTTCCCTTACTGTTGTTTTGTTAACCTTCTATGCATCAATCCACTTATAGTAATGTTTAAGATCCACTATTAGGTTTCAGGATACAATGTAGAATTTTTTTTAAAGAAAAGTATTTGCTACATAAAATAAATTAACATTAAGCCTAAATTAAACCTATTTATGCATTTGCAAATATAGAATACCATATATAGAGAAACTAGAGAAGTTCAAAGTAGGTCTTTGAAAATGTAATTGAATTAAAAATCTCATTTTCAATGGCTTAGTTTTGTTTCTTGGAGATTTTTAGTCATGATATGATAATAAAATCAGCCAATGGGAATTTTTTTAAAACTTGGCATCCAATTTTAAACAATGAAATAATATAGATAAAAAGATAGTCACTCTGACTTTAACTCACCTCAGGAAATTTTATGTTAATGATTTACACAGCATGAAGTTTATTCCCCAAAATATCTTATCACAGATACCTATTATGTGTAAGTGAATCAGATGATGAGGATTCTACAATATCTATAAATGATCAGAGAGTTCTGAAGAAGGTGGAGACATGAGTATATCTTGAAAAATAAGAATTAAATCTCTCTAAATATGCCTGTGGAGAAGTATTTTTTTATATTGGGAAAGCCAGATTGTCTAAATTGTTTAAATTACATAATTTTGAAATAATATTCTCAAAGCATGAATTCTCTTTCTAAATGGGAATTCCTTTTAACTTCCTCTTGTTATATCATTAGCACTTGGATAAAGTTATAGAGTTATCTATTAACTGAAGTTTAGTGTTCTAACTATATCTTCTCTAAAATGTAAATTATAAATTACCAGTTTTACATCAAGGGCTGATTTCCTTAGCAAATGGACTACACATAGCCTTGTGAAGAACAATACCAGAGACTATCTGCTTATTATAGAGTTGTTTATAGCTTCAGATGGCACACAAATTATTATTAGAAAATAACAAGAATAGAATCTTTAAAAATGGGAAAATTGGTATCTTATATTGCCTTTAACTTAATACTAATTGCTTAGTGAAGCCCAGCCCAAGAGTTGTTTGTTTTTTAAATATGAAGATTCAGCAAGGAACCTTTAATTTAACATTTCTAAACATTAAAGGTCTGATTCCAGAATGTTTTTTATTGTTAAAGTTTAAAAAAAGGAAGGATACATTTTAGGATAGTTCATGAAGGCCACTTTGGAAAATGATATGCAAATATTTTTAATTTTCAGTTTTCATCTAACATCCAAGCTCTGCTAGACTAATAATAGCTCCAAATGGCAGGAGACCATTTCTATCTCTTGGTTCCACTTTCTGAGAAGTCCTGTCACTTCTTTCCATCTCCCAATGTGCAGACAACACCCCAAAGGGCTCGTCAGCTGATGCTGATGTAATAAAAGTGGAGAGGACTGTAATGACACATCTTACTTGATGCCCCAACACAGTCTGTCACAATAACTGGCATTCTCTGAGTGCCAGACACTGCCCCAAGTGTATTTCACACACAACTGCCTTACTTTTCTTATCTCAATTTCACCAATCAGAAATCTGAGGCTTAGAAAGGTTAAGCAGCTTGCCTGAGACTACACAGCAGTTTCGTGAAGAGCTGGGATTTACTCAGAAGCAGAAATCACTGTTAACCATTCTTCAAAGTTAGGGCAGAGTTGGATGCTGACATCAGTTCCATTACATCCCTTTCTTATAATGTTAAGGATGGTGAGATACCCTGATAACTGCAAAGTTTAGGACTAAGTGGTTTGTTTGAGTGAGGTGCGTTGATTAGAAAACCATGTATGTGCAGTGTGGTCATTGTTTTTCAGGTATGCCTATTATTACACTGGAATTGGTGCTGGGGTGCTTGTTGCTGCTTACATTCAGGTTTCATTTTGGTGTCTGGCAGCTGGAAGACAAATAAGCAAAATCAGGAAAGAGTTTTTTCATGCTATCATGAAGCAGGAGATAGGCTGGTTTGATGTGCATGATGTTGGGGAACTTAACACGCGGCTCACAGAGTAAGTACCTACCTTTATGTTTTGCTTAGATGAGGTTCTTATTCTTAATGAAGTGAAACAGATGTCAGCATCAGCTCTGTTAGAAGAAGTTAGTGTATCACCAGAAGTAATTACAAGACTGAATTCCTTGTGAGCAGCAATCACGCCTCATGCATGTTTCCCCCCCGCTGTACTCTAGCCGGGCAGGAGAGAACCTGAATGACTACCAGTGAATGAGGAATTGGACTTGTGCCTGACTCTGGGAATGTTAGTACAGCAATGTGCAGTAGAGCACATATGATGCTTTCTGGGGGAAATTTCCAAGTAATTTGGAATTTTTCCTGGGGCAGTGTGGAGTACAGATTCCTATTGTTAGTGATGAATATCTTAGTAGAAATTAACACCCTGCTAAATAAAACATGTATACATACAAAGACCTTAGATACAAACCAATGTCCCCAACCCTCAGCAAGAAAACAAAAGTGAATACAGGAGAAAGTTGTGTTTGAAGTTCTGACATTATTTCTATCACTATCTGTTTTTTTTTTTTTTTAGTGATGTCTCCAAAATTAATGAAGGAATTGGTGACAAAATTGGAATGTTCTTTCAGGCAATGGCAACATTTTTCACAGGTTTCATAGTGGGATTTACACGTGGCTGGAAGCTAACCCTTGTGATTTTGGCTGTCAGCCCTGTTCTTGGACTGTCAGCCGGTATCTGGGCAAAGGTAGGTGAAGTTTGTGAATCCAGATTTTAAACTGTTCTCCTAACACCGCAGAAGGGTCTTTTAACCACAATAACCCTGATTCTGAATTTGATACTTGTTTTTAGGTCTTCTTTAAAAATCAGCAAGATAAGCTGATCACAGTACTTATTGTGAGTAACCCTTCCAGGACTCCACGCTGTCCTTGGTCATGTGATTATTTGGGGAAGGCATGAGAAAGAAGGAAAGATCTCTTCCATTTCATCCTCCACCTTCATAAAAATGACATGAAATCAAAAGATCTTTGTTCTGTAGTGAACAACACCATGTTCATACACCAAGTGGAGATGCAAGTTCAGTTAACCACATGTGTCTCATTCAGTTAACATTTTCATATTTTAATGTTTTGGTACATAAATTTTTGTTTCCTTTGAAAATTGATCTTACAGGTCAGCATGGTCATAAATGGCTCTGTATTTACACATATTCAGATACATTGTTATAAAATAATTTATGAAAATAGATACATTAGACTGCCAGACACATATAAACCCTTATCCTGTAGTCCTCTCTCTCATTCATGAAGGGAGAACCCCATAGAAGTGGCTCTCCCCACCTCTGTATTGTCTCCAATGATTTTGTTAAACTTACTTTTGTTTTCTGGGTGAACATGTAATTAATTTTATTAAATGATTTGGTGGAAGTGTCATTATGTGATGGAGAGATTGTACCAGTATGTAGTTTTGTTGGGTTCTATACAACTTAATGAAGGCATAGAAATTTGTGTAGCAAAAGACAGAAGTCATAGGACAACCAAAGTTTAGCCTAGTACAAAATAAGTTAGATTGCAATTATTCTGAAGTTTTAGAAATTTTTTTCCTGTAGGGTGGATATTGTTTTGTTATTGTAAACAATAACTATTTTTTATTGAATATCTGCTATTTCCAGCAAATACATATGTTATCTTTCTTAAACACAAGTATTACCTCATTTTGCAGAGGAAAGAAACTGAAGTTCTGAATACTCCATTCATTTGTTACTCAGAGTAACACCAGTGTAAATGGTGTTCTTAGTGGTAATCAATTAGTTGGAATATTTGGCAAAAGCTTTTTGTTGTTACTTGAGTTTTCTGTTACAAGAACAATGATCAAATTAGGTGCAAACTCTTCACATCAGCATTTATTGAAAAACTATTTAAAGTGTGCTGATATTCATTCTGAGGAGAATAGGCCATAACTTAATCTTTTAATAATTAGTTATGTATTGCTTTAGATATAGCTCTTTAGTGAATGGAGCCCTAAGCTGTTTTCTGAGATGTAAATTTAAATCCCAACTCTGTCATAATCTTTTGATATGATTTCAAACACGTTTATTAAATTCTCTGTCAGCTTTATTTAAAATATATGTGCTCTAACATGGAAAATCTGTTTGTTCCTGTGAGCTTGAGGCTGTCTAGCCCACTGAGGGACACCAAAGAAAGTAGGGAAAATAGGAAGGGCCCCAGTCACAGCAAGTACTATGATTCTCTTTTTTACCCATCTGTCCTCTACCTAGAGACACTGAGACATCTGGAGGGTACTGGTAAAGGAAACCACCATGCTTTCTCTTACCAAGAGATATCTGTCAGTCTGACCTTCAGAAACTACCTCCACTTTCTTTGGAAGCCAGGGTCAATGAGAGCTCCAGTAGAACCAGAGAAACAAAGCTGACCAAAATAATGCCACAAAGTCTCTAAATATGAAATGGCCACTGGAGCCACAGCTCACCAAAGAGAGCCAGGAATGTTAAACCTCAATATGGTGTCTGCTGTTAAAAATTTAAATAAACATAAGAGTCTCCTAACATAATGGACAAAATGACCAAGATGTAATGGAAAATCATTTGTTATTACAAAACCAAGAAAATCACAATATGAATGAGAAATCATTTATCTGACTCCATCACCGAGCTAAATCAGATATTGGAACTATCTAACAAAGATTTTTAAAACAGCAATCATAAAAATGCTTCATTATTTATAAATTATTTTAGGGTAACAGGAAATCTGGAAAATACTAGCTATAAATGGGAGTTGTTAAAAAGGACAAAATGAAATTAGAGAACAGAGAGGTACAACATTAGTAAGAGTCAGGCTGCATGGGCTCAATTCATGTAAGTAGAAATGATAGGATAGAATTAGTGAAACTGGAGATAGAATAAAAGCATTCCCTCGTCTAAAACATGGAAAATGAAAAGACATTCAGAGGCCTGTGGAACCATAACAGAAGAGCCAAAGTGTATATAAACATCATGAGTCCCATAAGAAAAGGAGACAAAGAGTGAGGTTGAAGAAATATTTGAAGAACTAAGGGCTGAAAACTTCCAGTATAGTAAAGAAGCTGATCTGATTCCAAATATGATAAACCTAAAGCAATCCATGCCAAGACACTTAGTAATTAAAATAAAAACAAAGAAAATATTTTTGAAATAAGCCAGATAGAAACAACATATTGTCTGTTGGAAAACAGCAATTTGAATGACAGCATATTTTCTCATCTGAAACCCCATGAACGCCAGAAGGAAGTGGCATAATATTTTTCAAGTACTCAAAAAATAAATAAATGAAAGCTATCAAATGTGAATACTTTATCTGGTAAAATGATCCATGAGGAACAACAGGATGATGCAAAAAAGTAAGAAAAGTCTGAAATTAAAGAAAACTAAAACATTTTCACTATTATACCTTTTGTTGAAGACTGGCTTACTAAAACTCTTTAAGCAGAAAGGAAATGATTAATGAAGGAACATTATACCATCAGCAGAAGAAAAGGAACAACAAACAGAAAAAGCCCAAATTTAAACATACAATAGTATTTCCTTTTCTCAATGAGATTTATAAATTATATTTGTAAAACATAAGTAATAAACAATTATTATAAATAGACTATCATAAGTCACATTTGAATATAATCATACCCAGAGAAACCATTATGAAGCCCATAAAAAGTTACATTAATAAATTACTGATTAATCTTTTTGATATGTAAGCACTAGTTGAAAATATCCGGCCACTTTTGTGTTTTTATGATAGCCATGGAATAAAGGAATCCAAATATTTAAGTATTTTTATCATTTTTGTTAACTTTCTCCTTAAAAATATTCAGTAGTGGTAAAAGATGTGGAGCACTGCACACATATTTTTTTTTGGTATTTTTAATTTTATATCTTTTGTATATCTCTACAAGGAAATATTTTGTAATTTGGTTTCATTAATAAGTTCTAGTACTTGGCAGCCATAGCTTAGATTCTACTCTTTAGTGTTAAATCTTTGGAGGACCCACAAATCATGAGACTGAGCTCACTCCGAGGTATCCTGAGTATCAAAGCAAGTGGTGTGGCAACATCTGTGTAGTCAGATGTTGTCCAGGTGAGTTTCAGGAAGAGAAACTGTACACAGCAGTTCTACATGCTATGAAATGTGAGTTCACACATTTCCCAGCCCTTTGGATCACTGACTGATGTGTTTTTGCCCCAATAATAACTGGCAGCATGGTATACCTGCAGTGCACCTTACAACAACACTGAAGCAAGGTTTTTATTCCAAAACAGAATAAAACTGCTCAAAAAACACTACATTAAATAGTAGTATAAATAAAACAAAATGAAACCCTAAAAATGATCATGTAACCTGATACTGGCAGGATAAAGTGATAAATAAGAATTAGAAGAAGATGAAGTAAAAACTGAGTTACGGTCAGAGCTAAAAAAGTCCACAATTACTTCAACATACACACCCCTTGGCAACTGACAGACAGAAAATCACCTAGGTTATAGAAGATCTGACTAACACAATGGGTACCTAATTGACATTTGTGGACCATTGCCTCCAATTGCAGCAGAATACACATTGATCTTCTGTTGTTTTTATCGTGCATGAAATACTCACCAAGATTATGGCCCATGTTCTGGGCCATAAAACCAACCTCAACAAATTTAAGCCCGTGGTGTGCTTTCTCTGACTACAGCAGCTTCAGAGATGAGGCCAATAACAGAAAGATAAGAAAATCTCTAAGCATATAGAAATTAAACAACACATTTTTATATAATCCATGGATCATACAAAAGTCTCAAAGGAAGTTTTAAAATAATGCATAAGATATATACAGACATTTGGGTGTCCCTGAGGAAGTGCTAAAAGAAAAATTTATAGTATTAAATGCTTATATTAGAAATGAAGAAAGTCTCAAACCTAAATTCCTACCATATGAAACTAAAAAATAGATAGTAAAATAAGATCAAAGCAAGTAGAAGAGGCCAATGAAAAAGGCAAGTGTAGAAACCAATGGAAGTGAAAATAGGGAAAATTGGTTCTTCATAAAAAATACACTAAAGAGACAGAAGACACAAACAAAGAATATCAGAAATGAAATAGGGGATGTCATCACAAATCCTATAGATATTAAATAAGTAAAGACATGCTACCAGCAACTTTATGTTCATAAATTTCACAACTTGGGGATCATTTCCTTTATATTTACTACATATATACCTTGAATGTACAACTTGTTGTCAAAATTGAACTGAGATGAGTTAGACAATGGGATAGCCCTATAACCATTGAAGAAATTTAGTTTGCAACTTCAGAGTGCCTAAGAAAGATTTCTCTGGTCCTAAATGGCTTCACTGGAAAATACTGCTAAATATTTAAAGAATTAACACCAAGTTGATATAATTTACCCAGAAAAAAGAAGAAGAAACAGTTTTTAACTCATTTTATGAAGCTGATATTACCCTGATACCAAATCCAGATGAAGCAAATATAAAAAAAGAGAAAAATACAGGAAAATCTCTTTCAATAACTTAGAATAAAAAAATCCCTAAAACATATTAACAAACCAAATTCAGCAAAGTATAAAAATAAAGAATAATTATACATCATGACCAACAGATTTATTTTAGCTATATAATACCTGTTATTAACATTTAAAAATTAATGTGTCCCACAAACAGACTAAAGGAAAAAAAAAAACACGATCATATCACTT